TGCTTTCATGATATTCACTAAAAGCTACTTCATTGTCATTTTCGTCCACATGAACATTTCCATTCACGTGCTCTTCATGATCTTCATCACTAGCTTCCTCATTACGACTTCCATCCGCATAAGTGACTCCATTCATGGGCTCCTCAATGACCTCATCCATATTTTCACTAATATTGTCAATGGCACTAGCTTCTTCAACTTGACTTGAAAGAAGAGAATGTTGTGTTTTTGTTTTGAATAGCTTAGAAATTGAGCCATGTAGTGATTTTACCATTTCATCTTGACGTTCCTTGACTCTTCTATTATGAGCTATAGAGTTTTGTTTTCTAATCCTTATTCGGCTTTTGTCATCTCTCGTCATGGTGTACTGTAGTTTGTAAATATAAATTATATAACATATATGAAATCACAATCAACTAAACTTAGCAATATCAACGAAGGATAAATATATCATTGTTCATAACCCCTTCACTCATATGAAAACAACATGAAAGACAAAAAGGTGGGGAGAGAGAATAGAGACTTGCATAACAACTCATAAGAAATCATAATCAGAATAAGATCTCAATGTTGAAAAAGGCAAGGCTGTCCACTCTACATTTGTAGCCAATCATCCCATGTTTCCTTCATAGCTTTGTCAATTTCTTCAAGAAAAGCATCACCCATAAATTTGACAGGTTTAAAATTGAAAATTTTCAAGGGTTACTTGTAGACAGACCCCTTATCTTCCCAATTGCCCAATTACCAATATCATTATTATTAAAACAAACCCTAATTTCATTCCAAAACATCATAACCATTAATTTAATTCTTCAACAACTAAGATTCAACCAAGATTCAAAATCAAAAATCTTAATTTTATTGCAAAACATTAAAACCTCAAATTTCTGTCCAAAACCCCCTAAAATTATTTAGTTAAAAATTTTTACCTGATGGGGTGAAGCCTGAAGGACGGGTCTAACGGGAGCAGAGTAAGGTCGTCGGAGGCTCGCCGGTTCGGGAAGCAGGAGAGGAGCCGCCTGCTCGGGAAGGAGGACTGGAGGAGAGGAGGGTTTTCTCTCTTTCTTATTTTTTTTGTGAGCGGAACAGAGAGAGACGGGAAATTAGGAATGAATGCTGATGGAAATAAAGGTTGGGTAGGGTCATTAGAGTTCTTTTACAAATACAACCTCTAACAATTTTTATATAAAAGCCCTCTTACAAAGTCTACTTTAAAAATCAAAGGTAATTACAGTTTGAAGGGTGTACGAGCGGTCGGGATGGGTTGCCCCCCGGCCATGGGTTGCCCCAGCCCCGGGGCTTGGTGGGCTTACCCTAGGGCCGGCCCTGAATCCAGTTAGGAAGCTCGTAGGGGACAATATTAGTTATACGGGAAATTTTTAAAGATAATGGGCCCTTATAGGTTTAGTGGGCCACAGTACTAACATAACACATTCCTTTGATACTTATAGGTATTGGGCTGGCCTCACTTTTCATAAATAACGACCTTTCTTTTGACACAAGAATGAAGAGAATAGAATGATCAAAGGAATAGAATGAAATTAATGTAACAATAAAATGCTCATTCCCATTATAATATGCGATGCAATTTGAGAGTGAAGTGAGAATGAATGAGTAGTGAGAATGTGTATTCTAGCTTCCAAATATATGTTTAGTCTTCATGAATGAAAAATTCGATTGACCATTCCTTTCCCAACCATTTCAGCATACTAAATGAGGCATAAAAGAAATTGATGAAAATTTGCAATCAAACTTAAAATTAATTTTTCTTGAAATATTTTTTGGGATAAAATAAATTGTATTTTTACAGAATTTTTTTAAACTATTGTTAATACAATAACTTATCATAATACAAACTATCGAAAGAATATATGGTAATTCATGATTCCACCATAACTTTATTTTAGTTTAGTAATTTCTCTGAAAATCATGATAGTTTGATAAAATATAAATAAAAACAATGTTATACGTTGGCTCATAAATATCTTTACGTTAGAAGTGGTAACTAGACAACAAATGTTATACTACTATTTTACTAAATGACAATAATAATAATAATAATAATAATAATAATAATAATAATAATAAAAGATATTTCCTTGAAAATTGCAATAAGAAATCATGTGTGTTTGCAGACCCTATACGACTGTGTCCTCATACTATAAAAGTAGTACAATCCTTATAGTCTAACTAGCATGTTCTTTACGATAATATATGGTCTTTATTTTCAAAACTAAAAGTTATAGTGCGTTGCAATAAAAGTATTTTACAGTTACTAATAGGATTTTATAGTTCCATAATTTGATATTAGTAGCAATTTCTAATAGATTCATCAGTCATCACATCATAAAGGGTACTTTTAAATTTGATCTCTCTTAACTTAAGTTAGATATGTGGGAATATTCTTCAAACTTAACTTTTTGCAGCAAAGTTCCAGCAATACCTCTTAGAGCAGCTCCAACCATGATGGATAACTGCAAAGTAGAGCCGGACTTACCTCCAACCGAACGGTAATTTTTGTAGCTGAGCTGCAAAAATGGAATTGAGGCTGTAAATTTGGAGATTTCTCTTCAAATTTGCACCCAACTCTATATTACTATTCCCCAAAAAAAAAGTCAATCTTACCCCTCAATCTCTTTAACAACATTGGATTATTCCAATTGTGTCCCATTATTTTTTTTGTTACTTACTTAAAATCTATATATATATATATATTAATATATTAAAAATTTTTAATGAAAATAATATCATTAGAAATGTCTCGTCGATACCTTCAAAATGAGACTAATATCGAAATATAAAATTACAATAGAAGTAATTAGAAATGATAATACATTGAAAATTAAACGGAAATAAAAATACATTAACTTAGAATTTCGAGGAAATTTAATAAAAAAAGTTACATCACTTCATTGCCGTGTCTCTCCCACATATGAATGTCTGTTTAATTTAATCAGATTGCCTATTTTATATTAATACATTTAATAATATTATTTATATTATATAACTTTTATTTTTTTATTTTTTAAATATTCAAAATGAGAGTAATATTAAATAATATTAATTGAAATATAAAATTCCAAGAACCAAGTAATTAAAAATAAAAATATATTATAATTTAAAGACAATTATCTATTTCTTATTATCAATTCATTAAAGAAAATTAATTTTATTTAAATATATGATTACATTATATATTTTTAAAATAAGTAAAAGAATTAAAAAATTGAGAGAAATTGAAATGGAGTTGGAAATAGAGGAGTGTGGTTGGAGTTACATAACTCTATTTTAGCATATTCTAAGGAATATGCCAAAGTTTGGGATGCAAAATAGAGCCCCACGTTGGAGCTGCTCTAAGTTGCGTTTATCTATCTGATCCTTTAATGGATAAACTAAAAAACTAAAAACTAAAATCTCAAATCCATGTTCTTTATCTTCTAAGATGATAAAAACATGATCAAGGGTTAATAACTAGGGTTTTCCTATTGGAACCACCTTTAAAATAGGATATAATTACACGACCGACCTACTTCTTTCGATTAATACATGAACCATCTTAAAATAGTATTATTCTTTCAACCAACCACCTACCCACAAATTCAGTTCACTTTTTGTTTGAAAATGATATAAATACCCTCATCATGATCATCATCACCACAATCCATGGGCAGCAATAGGGATTTTTTCAAGCTACTAGAGGTTAGTGAAGGAGATGACATAAGAGAAAGAACTCATTTGGATGCAACAAGATGAGATCTAAAGATATGATTTTTGAGGCAAAGTGATGAAGAGAGTGGTCTAGACTGAGAAATTTTTTCGAATCTCATGGGCATTTCATCATGTTGCAGCGAGGACTTCACAGATACAAAAGATGTCTATACAAAAGTGGATAATAATAACACTGAATAAACACAGTGAAGACAAAGAGAACAACACACAAGGATTTAACGTGGTTCGGTTAATATGACCTACGTCTACGAACGATAACAACAGAGAATTTTACTAATCACAAAAGAGAAGATTACAAAGGGAGATCATACTAATATCTCACCAAACTCACATGAAGAAGATATCACTAAAAAAAACTTTCTTTTACTTTTTCTCTTCAACTGACTCTTTCTTTTTCTCTCTGTTCTGGATCTCTATGTGATGCTCTAACCCTTCACCACTCTCCTCTATTTATAGCCTTCAAAAGGGTTGATGGAATAATGTTTTGGATTGATGGAATAATGTTTTGGGTTGGTGGAATAATAATAGGATTGGCGAGTTGAATTCAAAGTCAAATAACAAATCTCCACATTGACTTTGAATATGAAGATCTTCTCTTTACTCTTGCTATCTCGCTAAAAGCCCCTTACATGCTTAACCTCCGCTTTGTTGAACTCCAAGCAATTTGAGGCAATGCTCATACTTGCGTGAAGATACGAGCTTCATCATCATATCTGCTAGATTATTTGCAGTATAAATTTATATTAAAATTTTTTAATGAAAATAATATCATTAGAAATGTCTCGTCGATACCTTCAAAATGAGACTAATATCGAAGTATAAAACTGCAAAAGAAGTAATTAAAAATAATAATACATTAAAAATTAAACGAAAATAAAATACATTAACTTAGAATTTCGAGGAACTTTAATATAAAAAAGTTACATCACTTCATTGTCGTGTCTCTCCCACAAATGTTTAATTAATGCATTTCAAAGTGCGAAGCGTGCTTCTTTGTCTTTGAATTTCTTATGCCGAGCCAGGAATTGTCGGAACCGTTCAACATCGTTCATCCTTATGTCTTCAACATTTGAAATTGATGGTGGAGTAGAAACGACAATATCTTCTTGCTCATCACGTTCATCCTCAACAATCATGTTGTGCATTATTATGCAAGTGGTCATGATATCATGCAAAGTTCGTTTATCCCAAAACCGTGCATGGCCCTTGATTATAACAAATCTTGACTAGAGAACATCAAACGCTCGCTCCACATCTTTTCGACAAGCTTCTTACATCATTGCAAAATATTGTTTCTTTTTATCTTCGGATTTGGAAATGGTTTGAACAAGGGTTGTCCATTTCGGGTATATGCCATCGGCTAAATAATAACCGACATCATAATTCTTTCCTTGAATTGTATAATGAGCAGGAGGAGTAATACCTTGCGTTAGGTTGTCAAACAAATTAGATGCTTGTAATACATTAATATCGTTATTAGAACCTGGCAAGCCAAAGAATGCATGCCATATCCATAGGTCATACGATGCTACTGCCTCAAGAATAATGGTTGGGCCTCCGTGACGTCCTGAGTATTGTCCCGCCCATGCTGTTGGATAGTTTTTCCATTCCCAATGCATACAGTCTAGACTTCCCATCATTCCTGGGAAACCTCGCTCTTCGCCTTTTTGTAACAGTCTTGCAACATCGTCGGTATAGGGGGATCTAAGATATTCATCTCCATACACTTCTACAATTGCTCTGCAAAATCTCTTCAAACATTCAATACAGTTGACTCACCAATCCTTACATATTCGTCAGTACTATCTGCCAGTGCACCATATGCCAACATGCGAAATGCTGCTGTTACTTTTTGTAAAGTAGATAGTCCAATCCGGCCGACACTATCCACCTTCTGTACAAAATAGTTATCGTGCTCTCGTACAGCGTCGACGATACGAAGGAAAAGACTCCTTTGCATTCGGAATCTTCTACGGAATAAATTTGCACCGTATGTGGGATTATCAGAAAAATAGTCATTGTAGAGTCGAGAATTACCTTCTTCCCTCCCACGGTTGATTACCAAATGACCAGGAACTGAGCCGATACGTTTTGGCCTCTTTTCCTCTTTAGAGAAATAAGTCATTATTTCATTGTTAGAGGCATATAGACGAGCTAAGGTTTCATCCTCCTCCTCCCATTGTTACATATCCTCCTCCCATTGTTCAACGTAATGAGAAAATGTTTCGTTATCAGAAGAAGAAGAAGAAGGTAGGTGTGATGGTCCAGCTCCATAGTTCATTGTTGAAGAGGGGATTTGGAGAAATGAATTATAGATTGGTGATGAGTTGTTAATAGGTGTATGTTGTGTTATTATATAATGTTTCTACCCACATTAGATTCTTTCCCGCATCGTTTTCTACCCATATTGGATTTTCCCACTAGCATTGGTTTTCTACGCACATTGGATTCTTTCACCCGCATTGTTTTCTACCCATATTGGATTCTCCAACTAGCATTGGTTTTCTACCCACATTGGATTCTCTCACCCGCATCGTTTTCTACCCACATTGGATCCTCCCACTAGCATTGGTTTGTTAGACCCTAGAGGGGGGATGATTAGGGTCTTATGCTAATCTAATCCGATTATATGCCAATAAAAATTAATTAACAAATTATCCTAGCAAGTATGAAATACAACAAGTTATATGACCTAGGATAAGCAATATGAACAATAAGAAATATCCTAACAAAGAGATATACAATATGATATATGTAAGAATATGTAAACTAACACAAGGGTAAACAAAATGAACTAGATAGTGGATGAAATAAATGAGCAATGCACAATTGGTGATATAAGATAAATGTAAAAGCAAATGCGCTAATGACAAACTCAAACACACTCAAATGATCACGGATTTCGGACCTTCCGTCCTACGTCTCCGCTCCCCACTCCCGGGGAGAAATCCACTATCACAACCGGGTTTTTTACGCTCACCCGAATAACGTTTACACCTCACAGTGTCGGTTTTCAACGCTCACCGATCAACGTATACAATCACTCACAATATCGGTTTTTAACGTTCACCAATCAACGTTCACTCCTCACATTCGGTTTTCTAGTTCACTGAAAACTTCACAACAACACACTCGGTTTTCTAGCTCACCGAAAACCTAACAACACTCACAATGTAACAAATATAAATTTGTTCTCCACAATAGATGAGAACTCAATTAAGAACAACTCAATGTTACAATCTCTCACAACCCTAATATACTATGTATGCAAATACAATAAGCTCAAAGTGGGTGTGTGTAACAATGAGTAAATAAAATCAAATCAACTAAACTCAAATATAAAATCTAGCTTAAGAACAATGATAATCAAACAAGTATATAAATGTAAAGCTAGAGTTTAAGTTTAGAAAACTTCTCAATTGATAACAATATGGAGAGATGCAGATTGAAGCCCAAATAAGAAGATAATCTCCTCCACTTGTGAAAACCAAAACAGCTTTAAACCAAACCCTTAAAGAATCTTAAAACAAGCTTAAACTCTTTTTAAAACACTTTTAAAACATTCTCTTGGTTGGGTAGATAGAAGAGGGTTTGGGGGTTTATATAGGAAGAGGAAACAACAGCAAAAACCCCAAACAGATGACAAAAAAGCCCCAGCCAATGGTAACAAAAATAATATTCGCGGTCGACCGCGAAGAATAAAAAGGCGAAGAACTGTTCTGGACAAGCGACGGTCGACCGCGGCGGTCGACCGCTAAACTCTCTGGACTCGCTACGGTCGACCGCCACGGTCGACCGCGAGCCAATAAAAACAGTTCTGAGTTCAGAACTCTTGGCGGTCGACCGTGGCGGTCGACCGCGAACACACTACAGAAAAACAGGTTGTTAGACCCTAGAGGGGGATGATTAGGGTCTTATGCTAATCTAATCCGATTATATGCCAATTAAAATTAATTAATAAGATATCCTAGCAACTATGAAATACAACAATATATATGAACTAGGATAAGCAATATGAACAACAAGATATATCCTAATCAAAGAGATATAGGCAATGTATGTGCAAGGATATATAAACTAACACAAAGGTGATATAATTAAACTACAAATGTGATAGTGCAAAATAAACAATGCAAACACACAATATGATCACGGAGTTCAGACCTTCCGTCCTACGTCTCCGCTCCCCACTCTCGGGGAGAAATCCACTATCACAACCGGGTTTTCTACGTCACCCGAATAACGTTTCTTCTACACACTCGGTTTTCTAGCTAACCGAAAACTCTACAACTCACACTCTTGCAATCACACTCTACACCCTCTCAAGTGTTGAACTAGACGTGTCTCCCTCAAGTGCTCGGTTACAACCTCTCCCTAGGTTCCTCAACCGACGCCACTCCTCTTGGGACGATCCCTGACTCTCGCCACACACTTCTCTCGGTGTACAAGTGTATTATAAAGTGAATCTCACAATAAGGTTCAATACAATAAATGTTTGTTCTCTACTATGGATGAGAACATAATGAAAGCTCACACTCAATTGTTACTATCTTTTACCAACCCAAAATATATTATGAATGTAAATACAATAAGCTCAAGTGGGTGTGTGTAACAATGAGATAAAATCAAATCTAACTCAAATAGCAAACTAGCAATAATAAGAATATAAAAATTAATAATAAAATTGCTAGAGAAAAGAGTTAGAAAACTTCTCAATAGATCAAGAGGTAGAAGGAGAATAGTTGGATGCCCAAACACCAATAGATGATCTCATCAAGCTCTTGTGAAATTAATTTCTCAAACTCAAACTTCCAAATGCTTAAAAGCTTCTTAAACACACTTAAACTAAACTAAAACCCTTGTTAAAACTCTTTTAAACTTGGTTAAAAATTCTCTTGGATGATGGAAAATAGTTATGGCAAAGGGGTATATATAGGCTTGAAGAAACCAACCCCAAAAAACCATTAAAAATAAAAATCAGCAACTAGTCGTTACTGTGTAACGGTCGGCTGCTACAGTAACTTCGGTTGACCGGTACGGTCGACCGTGAGCCATATGCAAAGCTGAGTAACGTCCAGAGAGTTTGGCGGTCGACCGTACCGGTCGACCGCGGGTACTGTAGCACTGCATATCAACTTTGTAAAATCAATTAAAAATAGTAAAACAGCTCCAAAAAATATGACATTTTGTGGGAAGGTTACAGACATGTAGAATAACATGTTAGAGAAAGAATTTATGAAAAATAGTTTCCCAGTTGAGAGAAATAAATGTTTTAACACAGATTTATAGTTTCTGAAAAACTGCTGACATACACGATTTTGTAAAATCAATTGGGCACAGTAAATCAACTCCAAAAATAGTAAAATTTTAAGCGAAGTTTCTAAACATGTAGATAAATATGTCAAAGAAATAATTTCTTGAATATCACTTCCCATTTATGAAAACACATCTGTTTTGTAAAACATGCACGAACATGTGCACGAACAAAAACATGATTTTGTAAATTCCATTAAACATAACAAATCAATTCCAAACTTAATGAAACTTTGCGAAATGTTTATAAATATGAAAACAAACATGTTAGAAAAAGAATTTGTCAAATTGAATTTCCATTTGTGAAAACTCATGTATTTTACAAGTGTGTCCAAAGCATTAAAAACTCAAAACCATGCATGTATATATATAACTATATATATACATAGAAACCAAATACGTGTGTGTATATGATGTTGAGCTTAAGGTATTTAACACACATAATATAAAATCTAAACTAGATTACCCAAGCTTGATCTTGATCTTCATTGTAGCTCAACTTGGTACACATGCGGATGAAGCATGAACTTGATCTTTAACTTTGAATTGCAAGGCTTCAACCCGACATTCCACCAACCTCCATTTGATATGATCGTTATGGCGCAATCCATCAATCCTCCAACTCGTTGTTTGTCTATAATAAATAGAAATATACCAATACTAGACAAACAACATTAGTGGTAAATTATTTGTTAAACATCATCAAAACAAAGAGGCAAACACATGTTTTAAGGCTGATTTTTGAGACTTTGAAAATATGTTAAAAATAACAAATAAAGTCCAAAAATAATAAAACTTTGGGAAATGTATATAAACATGTAAATGAACATGTTACAAAAAGAATTTTCCAAATTTCATTTCTCATTTGTGAAAAATCATCATTTTGCAAAAATAGTCCAAAACACGAAAATGTAAACATGTGAATTTTGACATTTAGGCTAAACCATGTTTTGAAATTTTGTACAAAGATTATATAGACTTAATAAAATATGTATATGATTATTGTTAAGTCTAAAAACTAAGAATACAAAATTTTCATAAAATTGGATATTCTATGCAATGTTTTCAAAAACACAATAGTAAATATGAAATATGTGATTTCATATTTATAAACATGAAAACCCAAAATCATGCATGTAAATTGTGACGCCTCTGGGTTCACTCAAGGCTACAGTCCAGGGTGAAACCAAGAATGTCAAACCTGCCATGCACCATACCGTGCAATAACATGTTTCACCATCACAATTAACATCTATCTAGTAGAGTCAACAATGTTAGACCCTAGAGGGGGGGTGATTAGGGTCTTATGCTAATCTAATCCGATTAAATGCCAATTAAAACTTATTAATAAGTTATCCTAGCAAATATGAAATACCACAAGATATATAAGCTAGGATAAGCAATGCAAACAAAGAGATATATCCTATATGATGAATATGTATATATGCAAGGATATATAAACAACACAAGGGTAAAATAAACAATCTACACAAGTGATAGGGTAATATGATGAGCAATACACAAAGGCGATATAAGATATGAAAACAAGAATAAGAACGCCAATGCAATCACAAACAAAATGATATGATCATGGAGTTCGGTCCCCACGACCTACGTCTCCGCTCCTCACCTCGAGGAGATCTCCACTATCACAACCGGGTTTTCTACGTTTACCCGAACAACGTTTACACCTCACAATATAATCACTATGCAATCACACTTTACACACTAAGTGTTGGTCCTAGCCCGTGTCCTCCTCCTCAAGTGCTCGGTTACAACTTCTCCATGGCACGTCAACCGACGCCACTCCTC